TTTAACCATAAATTCCCGGAGCGCTGTCGCCTTGGTGCCGTTCTTTTTGTTTCGCCGGTTTTTCCCTCTTTTGTACAGATTTAGAGACTCGATTTGGGGGGTTGTGTTTCTCACTATTTTTTTCACTTTAATTTTTGCTCATCTCGTGACGGATGTTTGTCGTTGCGAAGCACGGACTGAGTGGCTGGTGAGGTGAGGTTGTGGGGAGTTCGTGTGGTATCAGAGGGGCGAGGAGGTGGTGGACGAGGGAATTACCCTACGGAAATTTATTGTTTGTCTGTGGGTGGTGCTTACCGGGATTGGTAGGGTGTTTTTGTCGTGCACCATCATTTCATAGGTGGAGTACCGTACACATACAGGAGGGAGGGTGTGTGTGGCGGTTCAGGAAGGAGCATGTCGAGACGTGATCGAGTAAGAGAGGTGTTTAATCGCATCTCCGCCGAAATCTACTGGTTGGGGATGAATACCGGTAGCCCTATGTACTGTAGAGTTTACGGACCACTCTACCACCTGCCCGCCTGCCTTCCCCTCATCTGTATGCGAGGAGTGTGATGCTGGACAATGCCGTATCATACCGTAGGCGGTGTGATGTGGTGGGGGCCGAATGAGTGAAAGGGAGGGGAGTACTCGAGTACTGTACTGGTACTCTCGTGGTTTAGGGGGAAAGCCCCCTTTGGAGAAAAGATGGGAATCTTTGTGGTCGGCCCTTCGTCTACGAGTACTTTGTACTATACCCATACTATATCACGGGAATATCGCTGGTATCAATGTATTGCACTCGCGGGTCTCCTCCTCCTCTCCCGTGCACGAGCATTTAAGAATGGATTTGAAAAGAGCCCGGGTGAAGTCATGAGGGGAAATGGTTGCACGGTACTTTTTTGTTTTTCCCCTCCTCCCCGGGTTTCGAGGGTTGGAGGGGGCAAGACAAACGAAGATCTCGCTCGCAAATGCACATGGCCACTAACGGCTTCTTCCATGAGGAATTTTTTTCCTACGAGTGGGATACCTGTCTGTCTCTCCCTTTCCTCCAAACGCCAGACTCACACACACAAGTCACTCACAGTGATCCGATACGGTACCGTATCACCCTCACATTCCGTGCTCGGGTACAGTACCGGCGCCGATACCCGAACTGGAGCTGGCTTTGCCTTTATTTTTTTCGCAGGAAATTAAGTTCCCTGTGTGTTTCCACACAGGGCCCTGCGGTACGGTAGCCATATCCCCCTTACGACGTTACACTATTTTTCTCAAAACTATTAGTGCTTTACTCCGTAGGCCCCTCCAGTGTGATAGCAGGAAAAAGAAAAGAGATATCTTATGTACTCGTAGTATCAAGTTGTTGTTTTTTTCTTTCACCTAGGTAGTGCTCTCCTCAATAATGCCTCTTACCCTTGCTCTTACCTGTTATCCAGTAATATAAATCATAATCATATTTTTCAACCATCTATTAGTTATTAACTTATTGCTAGTGCATAAAATACATGTTCTAAATCACAAATAATAGCAGGCTCTGAATATAAGTATGATAGAAACTAATAGGTTTTAATACCCTCCCACACTAGCAACTCCTAAACCTACTCTAGTAATTTCTTTCTTCAAGCTGCTTTCTCTCATATCAGCAGTCTATGGATTTAAGCTTTTGATTCATAATTTGTAGTTGGATTTTTACAACTTAATTTGAATATAATAAATATTAATTGCATGAATTTAAATTGTAAAACTAACTAATTTATTTATTATATTCCTATTCTATTAAAATGTTCTTTAATAGGTTTCCAATATTAACAATACTATAAGAATTTCTTAACCTCCAAGATCTCAGGATTTGATACAAAAATCGCATATTAGTAGGTGTCTTAAAGTTGGCTGTTATGATACCTAGTTACATTTTTGTTGAACTATTTTATAATAGTGCTATTTTCTGAATAAACTATAGAGAGATGTTTTCAGGCCGAGAAATTATATTTTGTTTTTCCAGAGGTTTCAAGCACATATCCAGGATTGCCCTGTAGTTAGTAATATTGCGATAGCTTTTTATTTTTATTTCATGTTTCTCGTAGGGTGGGCCTAAACCCCTATGCTGGTTTTTCCGCCCTTTTTTTTACGTGCTCGCTCTAGGAGCGTCGGATATTGAAATAGTATCATAAGGTAGGATTATTTATTTTTATCCTTTTTCGGGATGGGGGGGGACAAAGTGCTCAGCTAGCCCAGCGACGAAAAATAGGATATCATACCTCATGGTCTACCTGTGGTTAAGTGAGCGAAGCGAGCAACCGAGTATGCGGCGTGCATGGTGTTTGTCGGTCGGGAACGGGCAAAGTGATCTGCTGCCCGAAGGGACGAAGAAACAATCTACCGCACACATCCTTCCGGGGTATGGATGCCAACCAGTACAAGTAACAGGCCGGAATCTAACCTATTTTCCTTTCCGGGATTACATGTGAGGGACTTGGTCGAGTGCTCTCTTGCGCAATCACGGGAGGAAAGAGACGGCTGACGCCCGCTGGATTTGACTGTGTAGCGCTGGAGATGGCCGAGGGTGAGTGAGTTGACGGTAGGGCACTCGTACGTGTAACAAAGCAATGCGGACGGGTGTTGTAGATGATGATGACCGAAGCGGGCTACCGGTATTATCTATTGGTCCAAGGAATCTTTGAAGGGGAGCTTTGTCAATGTGGAGTGGCGAGCAGGATACGAGTGCCGTACCGTGCTGCACTTCTTGGGCTTTGCACCGCAGGTGACCAGAGTTGGCCGTCGGCTGGGCAGCACACGCCGACCGTCACCGCACTAGGCCATGTCTTGGTTGTCGTCGATGATACCCTGGTCAGGAGATTCAAGCGGTTACTGTACTCGAGTACAGTACTCGAGTAAGCAATTCGCGTGCATGGGTGGTTAGTCGGTGACGTCTGTGGAATGGTTTACCAAGGAAAGCAGGGAGCGAGCAACCGTTGCCTTGGTGATTTCTCTGGCCTATCAAGGTAGATTAGTCGTGGAGGGTCACAGTACTCGAGTACTCGTACCGTACTAGTACAGAGCAGGAGGGAGAGATGGTGGTGGGATTCGAAAAAAAAAAAGACGCTGGGAGGCTCATAAAGTGAAGCCAATTAGGGTGAGTTCGAGGTCGGATGGTAGGGTGGGGTACACATGATTTACTTTTCTTGAGGCGGGTCGAGGGGTGTGTGGTGATGGCGATGATGATGATGATGATGATGATGGGAAGAATGAGGAAGAAGACCAGTCCTTGTGCTCGAGCACTGTACAATGTAACCTGAAGTACCCCCTACACCTCTCGCCGCCTTTAATTATTCATTTCGTCCTCGTCTCATTATTAGTCACTCCATTGGGCATGGGTGCGAGAGCTGCGGTGCACACATTTCCGACTGTGAGAACGGGGGCCTGTTCTTTCTGTAGTCTAGACTACCAGTTCGGAATCCATGAAAGTCACCGTGGCTCTTCCGCTCACGGGCGAAATCAAGGAAAATCAGAGCGGCCAGGGGGCAGTTGGTTTGGTCACTGAATCCTGGACGGTTGGGCCCGATTATATGGAGAAGAGGACTGGCTGAGTTCGCCGGGGAGAATTGCACGGTACTAATGGCGGAAAAAGCAGCACATATCGGTGGTGTGAACTGGGCGGAGTAAGGCCGGCGGAGTTCCAAAATCTTTCCCTCCCCCTCCATTTAGCACTGAAGAATGACCGGCTTCCCTCGCCCCTCGATCCCCTACGGTGGCGGTAACAATAACATGCTCGAGTGCTCGAGTACAAGTACTGCGCAGGGACGTTAAGGTCAGGGGTGGCTGAAGGAGGGAGGAAAGGGAGATTCGATAGAATCAAATAGATAGCCAGCCTATCTGCGCTGTGAATTATAATTCTTTGCACCGGCACATCTGGCCCAAGTGCGGTACTGGTACCGGTAATATGATACCACACCATACAAGTACTCGTACGAGTACCGTACTTCGCACAGAGGAGATCAAGTTGTGTGCTAGACTAGTCAGGAGGGGGCTGCCTGAAGTTGAGTTGCGGTAGGGACGAGTCAGCGACATGGCGGTGGCAGCGAACTGGACGGATGAATAATATTTTCCTACAAGTGCTCGAGTTACCGCACGGTACCGGTGCTTTAAGTTATCATGGCCGGGGGGGGGGGAGGTGAGTGGTGTGTGGTGGGGAGGCTTTGTGCGATCATTTCTTGGTTGGGAAATGCATGAGAGCGGCTGCTATTGGCGCCTCCGACGCATGCATGGATAGATGCGCGTGTGGACCCTTGACGGAAGTGACGTTATGGATTCGGTTGAAACTGCGAAATTGCGTTGGGGACGAACAAGGAAGGAGGAGAGGTGGAGGAAGCCTCACTTCCTGCGATCAGACACCGACAGACCACCATGTTACAATACCGGTACTCGTACTTTGCGCTGCGCGGAGAGAGACAGAGTGATGGGCAATGCGACGGAAAATCTCTGGAATATTTGTAGAGCGTGTCTTGAAGAGAGAAAGTCCAATGTTATGCCCCTGCACTATCCATAGTTACATGTTGCAGGGTGGGTAGGAGGACTACTGTCGTATTGGGTACATATCGGCACTCGTCGACTCTGCTAATCCCACCCACATAGAGTCTCTCCCCACGCGTTGCATTAGAGGGACATCGACACCGCAACGCGGGCCAGACAGGCAGGCAACACCTTTCGCATGGGCTTCCGGGGGTTGAGGGAAGGATGGAAGACTATGCTCGGAGCAACCCCCTGCCTCAATCGTCAGTACCATCGTCACGAAGCAGATCCATACCCTTCACACCATTCATACCATACCAACCATCCCCATCCATCCAATCCATACCGCCGGAAGAGAATTGGTGGTGAAAGCAGTAGCCCACACCACCCTCCACCCTCCCCCCCCCTACCGGTAGACTACTGCACTGCGCTCTCTGCCTAGCCAAACGAACCATCCATCTTTCCCCCTTCCGGACTTCCCTCCCCCCAAACACGGTCACACTTCATGAAGGAGTGATGCTTCAGCGCCTTCTCCTCTACCAAACCTCCTGTCGCTCCTGCTCCTGCCACCGTGCTTCTCGGGACGCACTGGCGCTTGTCCAGGGCTCTGCTGTGCTGATTCCTTGCTGACTGGCCTGTTTGCTGCGTATCAAAGCAATCAAGGAAGAATAGCCCGGGACTCGCAGGCCCTGGGAACAAACGAGAAAAAAGAGGGAAAATAGTCCTGCCCCTTTGTCCTAGTGACTTTTTGTGAGCGGCGAACCTGTACGAGTACCGGAGAGAGAGGGTTGAGCGGCATTCACCTCAGTCAAGGCCATCCTGTCATCATCCCAGGGACCGTACCCACGAATCCTCCCTCTCCCAGCTCATTGTTGTACCCACACCAAACATTATCACCGCTCCACCGCTCCACCGCGCCCCCGCCCTCCCACTCAGTCACTCAGTCACTCAGTCACTCACTCTTCGGTTATCACTGGTGCCTATTCGAGTGTTTGACTGCTTTCCCCATTATCCCTCTCTGCACTGCTTAGCTTTGCAGTACCGGCAATAATAATAATAATAATAATAATAATAATAGTAATAAGAGGTACTGCCCCTAGAAAAGGAGTGACAGGGAAGACAGGAAACCCCCCAGCTTGAGTCCAGTAACTAATAGTGGATCCCGGGGAAGGTGAGAGCAGAAAAAAGCCTCTCGAGGACACTCCAGCAAATAGTGAGCTTAGTCCACACGGCTCTCATTGGTGCTCCAGATCGAGCAACCCACCCTTCCACACCATCCCTCTCTCAACCTCACACTGCCTGGCCGATTCCTACGTCCTCCCCCAAATCGACCTTTTTCTCTTTGATCGGGCTCGCTCTGCCTCTCTCCTCTACTTTCCTCGTGCCTTGCCAGACTGCATAAACGCACCCAAGTGTCAAGTCCCCGGTCCCCCAAGCCGGAGAAGGAGAACTCGCTTTCCCCCGAGGCAATAGGTAAAGAGAGTCTTGACGTAGGTACCGCTAGATCGATCGGTGGCTGTCCTCTGAGATATCTTCTTCGTTGTTCTTGGAATACCCACTGGTCTGGGGAGGGGGGCTGTTTTTTTTTTCGGTCCCTTCTACCTGTTACTCTACACACCACACAGTACCGCAGTGGTGAAGGATCCTCCCAGGTCCTTAAATTACAACACAGTTTGCGGAGAGATACATTGTCGAGCATGGAGTTTTCGACAGAATTTAGGGGTACGGTCACTGGATCCTCTCTCATTTGACAGCACAGTTTGCCTCTGATTGCTAACCCTTTGGATTCGAAAGGTTCACTCTTCACACAACCTTCACCGAATGGATCATTAATTGCCTCGATCGTGCACCAGAGACTCGTACTCCGTTCAGCATCTACACTACAGGTAAAACGAATAATACCACTAAATCCCGACTTTGCATCCCGATTAAGCTTTGTCGAGTGGTCACCCTATTTGAGTAACTCATTCACTTCACCGGCATGGCATGGAATCCCTGTAGTAGGGAAGAGAAGGAGTGGGGTAGATAAGTCCGAGGAAGAGGGTGGCGGACGACAGCGCGTATTGTTGGCGGACGACCAATCGATCCAAGTATACGATGTGGAGGACGAAAAGTGGACTGCAGTTATCAAACAGGGCTTTGGGGGAATAAGGCACGTTCAGTTTGGCAGAAATGCGGACGAGGTTGTTGTCTTTTCCGAATTTCAGGTGGGATTCTCGGAGTTTGGCCTTCCTTGCGAAGAAACGAATATTGACTGGATTCGGGTGAAAATAGCTTAAGGTAACCATTTGGAATTTGACCTCGTCAAAATCGATAGAGATACTCAATCCGAAATTCCCCACAAGAGGTATGAATGCATTGTTGAATATATGGTGAGCTGGTAATGACGGTTGAAGCAGGCTATGGTTATCGTCCTTGCACTGCCCATTTCGCGCTTCTCACTCGCTCATCAACACACGATGTGATAAGTGTCCACCAGCACACTAGTTACAAAATTGCGTCAAGTTTTACATTGCCAACCCTAGATGCGCAAGGCCTTAAGTGGTCGCCATGTGGCCGATGGATAGCAGTATGGGATTCAGCTGCTTCTGGATACAAGGTTCTTGTATACGGTGCAGACGGGCATTTATTCAGAACATATGAGAAACCTTGCGACGGCCTCGGCGTAAAAAGCGTTGAATGGAGTCCTGGGGGGGACTTTCTAACTATCGGAAGTTATGACGGGAGATTGGCTTTCCTGAGCAACTACACATTCTCTCCAGTACTAAGTCCCGCCCCAATTGATAGGTCGGTTACTAAATTATGATGGGTAGGTGATTGAGATGAACCACACGAGGACCATTAAGCTCCCGGGTGTTACGGTTTGGTCTGAATGCACAAGTCCACCCCGTGAGAGATATTATGCGCAGGCACAGCAACCAACGACGCTTCCGATCATATCATCAAGCCCTTCCGATAGTCAGCCCAAGCTTGGCATCTCAACGATAGCGTTTAATAATCCGGAAGGGACACTTATTGCTACTAGAAATGACTCCATGCCAACTACTGTTTGGATTTGGTCTTTGAAGCTGCTCCGGCCGTATGCTGTTCTTGTTCAATTAAATCCTATCCGATCAATCAGCTGGCACCCAACCATTCCGGATCTTCTAATGATTCAGTGTGCGCCAAGTGGTGATGGAAGCTCAGCAGAAACTTCAAAGCAGCAAGTGGTCTATCTATGGAGCGCGGCTTGGGTTCAACCAAGAGCGGTGGTTGTACCGATGGAGCGTTTGTCGGGGAATAATTGGGCGAGATGGATCCTCACTGCTCCGCCCAGTAAGGTCGTTTCCGCTCCTTTCAGCGCATCAACCACCAGTCCGGGGCCCTTGGTTATGGAAAGGAGGAGTCGAAGTCCCGATAAGATGGAGGACAGGAAGCCGATGGTTATGTTTGGAGACAAGGATGGTTTTGTTGTGGGGTACGTCCAGGATGAGCCGGAGTCAGGGGATGAGGGGGGATCGGTGGATGGGGTTGGGGTGGAGTATCAACAGAAGAGGCCGTGGGATCCAGCTGACTGGGAATACTTTGCGCAAGCTGACAAGCTTCCGAAATGTTCGTTGTCCTCGGCATCCCAGGCACCTCCGCATTCAAACACCGGCAGTGGCAAGGGGTTAAAGGGGGGTCTGGGAAGCGTGGTTAATAACTCCTCGGGATCTAATGGGTTATCTTCCCCGGGCGCCATGGATGGTGACGATAGTTTCGATTATCGCTCGTGGGGGCAGAATGTTCGAGTGAGCTCGTAGGTAGGACGATGTGAACGGAACTGGGTTGGGAATTATGAACAGTTGGTCTTTTAGTACCAAATGCAGTAATGGCTTTCCAATCGCATTTTGCCTTACCCCTAATCGGCTCGCCATCTGATATTTGTTCCCTTGATGAGATACTCCAATATGGAACTTTGGTGCATTGTTTCTTGTATTTGATTTTTCTTCGCAAGAGCCTCCCCCCTTCTTTTTCTCTTTCCTTACAAATTGGTTTACAATGTGCTTTGATATAAGGTGTTCTTGGGTGCAAAGTATTTTTTTTTCCACATCATATTCTCTTCCTGTTCAAATGTGTATTTTGCACTTTTTATTTTTATTCTTCCGTTCTGGGTTTTCATTTCTCATTTATCCTCTCTTTTTTCGTTCTCTTTCCTTTATCATCACGATTATCATCACCAATTTTTCCTTTCTGCTTCTACCTCTGCTTGGTCATGGATGATTAGGATCGTCTTGTCTATTTAACTTTATTTTTAAAAGGGAGGGAAGGGCCATTTATCTATGCTTATTTATTCTTTCATCTCACCATCGCCATTATCAGCGTCACCACCATCATGATGGCTAACTGTTTTGTTGATTTATATACCATTCCACCGCTCTTCCAAACTTGAGCTTATGGGGGAGGACGAAGGGATGGAAGGCATGAAGGAAGGAACATTAATTTCTCACGTTTGTCATAACTCATTTCTTCTCAATTGAGACGGTATCGTCATTGCCAAATTAGATGTCTCGTGGCATAGCATAGCATAACATGGCATCGTTTAGTCGGGTATTTTTTCTTCTTTCTTTTCCCTTTCCATTTTCTATCAACTCTTGATGGCTCTTCATCCTCTCTCTCCCTACCATTCCCTACTCAACTGATGAACGTTATGAAACGGCTGGCCTCCCTATTTAACTTGACTATAAAATGATTTGATATGCGGCTGCTGGATTTTTGATATGCTGTAGTCTACTTGCAGAGTATTTTTCCAAAGGGAAGACAATAATAACAGTAAGGTTGTAGTGTCTCTGTTTCTGTGAATGTGCCCGGTTTCCTTTTGCGTTTTCTTGGCTTCTTTCCTTTCACTCTTTCTTCCCCTTCACGGCGCTACAGAGCACTGCACGTGAGCCATCACGAAGTGCATTTGTTCGCAACGCTACCCGTAGCTCGGTTTCAGGTGTCGGGTGTCCAAACCCACATCACACATCGCGTGGTTGGATGTCGCAATCAGTTAGTTGGCTACAATACTGTACGAGTAGTGGTAGTTGGTTTCGTTGAGGATAGTTTACTGTACTCGTACAGCGCATCGCTCGACATGATGGGATCTGTTTGTTATTATTGGGCACGTTTGGTTTCTGTTTTGCTTGTGTACATGTACAGTACATATTTTTTTCTTTTCTTTTTTGCTCTGCTCTAACTGTGCCAGTACGGCTCATATTATTTGCACTGACTTGTACTGTACAGTTACCGTAGCGTAGATACCTGATAAGTTTGTCAATCTGCTAAGTTATTGTAATGGTAACGACTCCATCGTGGGAAGTCCTCTTATCCCCTTCCCTGTATTTATCTATCTGTCTGGCCATAGCATACTGGTAGCACTGGACCCTCCTTACGCCCCCACCGTGCTAGTTACTAACTACTACCGTAGTGCTCAACCCTTCCCCCCCCCCCCTTTAGCACATTGTTTGAGTACCAGTACCAGTACGATAACGGGTAAGTTTGATAGACTACTCAAAACTTGACATCGAATCGCTGCCCCCCCCAAAAATGGATCGTCACCGAATCGTACTCGAGTACTCGTACAGCACTCGAGTACTAGTGCATCCACCAATATCCGGGTATGGTGAATTCTTTATCCCATTTTTTTCCTATCACACCTCATAAAGAAACCCCCCCCCGCCCTTCCTCCCTCAAGGTCACGAGTAACGCACGGTGTATGGTACACTCCCATCATACCCAACCGCTCCATTTGATATTCACGAGTGTACTCGAGTATGATACTGCACGGTAAGTTGAGTAAGTTACTCCAACCGAAGCCGAACCGAACCAAACCAAACCAAACCAAACCAAACCAAACCCAACAATCCCCAAACCTGAACCTAACCCCCCCCCCCCCACCCCCGACTGCTGGGACACAACAACTCGGTCCCATGCACAATGACACAAGTGTGGCGAAAGCGACGCACTTGCAACCCCCCCACCAAATTTATTTATTTATTCATTTATTTGTTAGCCCGTTTCTCACACCGTTGGTGTACGAGTACGGTAGACTAATACGGTGTTTAGACTGGACCGTCGGTGGTCGGTGGCGCGATCTACAGTATCGTGCACTTGCCCACTTTGCTGTCTCTCCTCGTGGGGTAGGGTACTGTCCTGTACTGTACAGTGCTCGTACGAGTTCAGGTAATGTGGTGTGTGTGTGTGTGTGTGTGTGTCATGGAAGACTGGATGGAAGGAGCTATGATATGCTGCTCAAGTATGATATGATGCATGACTTCACTTACTGTACCCGAGCGCAGGCGGCGATGATGGCACTGGTGGGTTGACCTTGGGGCTTGGGATGAAGTGCGTGTGGGGGAATTTTTTTTAAACATCTCTGGGGAGGGAAAGGGAGGGAGGATATTCGGTCGGTTTTCGATGATGGATCATCAAAGTGGGGGGAAGGATTGAAGGATGGAAGGGTGGAAAGGTGGGAAGGCAAACACATGTGAGTAACTTGTTGGGATGATCAACACGGGTTGGCTGGGAGGAGGGAGGCTGAGGGGATGGTACTCGTACGAGTGAGGGATTGTGATAGGTGCTTCACCTGACTTCATCTGACATGGATTGACTGGAGTGGTGGGTGGGGGTGCGGCGTGCGCTCTGGTTCGGGTGCGATATGGTCGACTCTGTTGATTAGAGGCATCCAACCCCGGATTGAAAGAACGTTTATGCAAGTTTTCCGGGTGCATACAAATCTGGCAGATCCACTCCAAACTTGGCGCCCCAATAACCCTCTTTCGACCTCGGGGCTGAATACTTCTATTGCCGGTACGAGTAATATGTTCCAGCTATTTGCATCGCCCTGCACTAGAGCGAGTGCCCTGGTGGACTAAAAGAATTCGGGCAGGGTCCCGATACGAATGGGCTGATAAATCAAATCATGACGCTTCAAGTCGTACGAATCAGGATTTCTGTTACAAGATTTGGTGCGGGTTGGATGGACTACCCCATTCCTTACAAGTCATCGAATAAGGGCAAGACTCAACTCTACTAATGTTTAGCTGCTCATCTAATTTCACGGTCCGGCATTGCTCATCAAAGAATGCAGTGCCGGTATTGTTTCCAACTGGACTCTTATCTTCAAAAACCTAACTCGGGCCAATCAGTGATAATCTAAAATTATTCATTCCACCTCTTCTATGGGTGGAATTCCTGTTTTATCCATGTTTCTCAGGCATTCGTCCTTCAAGTCCTGTGGCACCATCTTCTCGACGATTTCCTTGAATGCCGCCTGCACTATGCGTTAGCAAAGATAAAATGCAGGCTTGTTATTAGTCACTCGTACCAACGTGCAGAAGCTCTCATCTCCTTCAAGATGCCTTCCGGCCACCTTGCAGCCCTTGACATAAACCGGTTTATCGTTGTACTTCAACCTCACATACCACCCTTCGTCCTCACTCTTGGCACCAAAAAGTTTTGAGAATACATTTCGGCTCTTGTTATGCCTCCCTTCTCGGAACATCTCAAAAGCAATCGAGCTGGTGAATGGCGGCCATTTTTTGTCGAACCCTCCAAGGCTGGCCAATAAGCCGGCAATGGTGGTGTCATGACATCCCATCAACCCGATCTTCAGTCGGCCATCTTCATTGGTCTCATTAACAGAAGCTAGCATCCTATCTTTAACATCTCCCAAGAGCGAACCGACACCCAATCTTCTGTACTCTGATGATTGGTTGTATCCTCGATACCACTCATCTACCGTGATATCATCCATGATCTTCCTCACGCGCGGCTCGTAGAACTCGCTCGGAAGTCTGGTGGTCTTCCCATGAGCTAGCGTCGAATTTACAGTGTCCGTTATTCCGCATAATGCCGGATGTCCGTCGACAGCGATCTTCCCACTCACCCATTTCCCAATACGGGATTGCAGGTGCTGCATCTCTGGGGAGTCGTTCCATTTCTCCGCGGCAAGTTTGGCGAATGCAATTGATAGCTGATCGAGACGTCTGCAGCTTGCGCCATTAGGGAATATGTTCTCTTCGGCGAAGGATCTCGTATAGATTGCGAGCGGGGGACTCGTGGGAGATCTGTTTGCGGATGGGTAAAGGCCAGTGAAAACTTGCTCAAGTGACTCAAGAGCTCGGGCTACCGGCGAAGCCCTATACCGCAGTGTCATGATTAGTTTATTTTTTATTTTTTCATTAGGATTCACGCCTCCGGAGTTGTAAGTAAATACCGCAGGTAATATTCCGACTGGGCTCCGAGATTTTCGGGAAGGAATCCGAGTTGGTGAACATACAAGTGGCGTAGCCTCTGCCCGAGCTGTAGTGTGGTTTCCCTTCCACGGTCTGTCAATTCCCCCGGAGGGCTATCATTGGAATTGCCAGGGCCAACGGCCGATGACATCCGAGTTCGTTAACGCTTCGTTCATTGAAATGAGAATCATCTTGGACATAAGTCGGCAGACCAACCAAATATTATCTTTCTCACCACCCGGACCCATGGCTACTACATTTTCCCCTTTCTTTCCAAAGGTCTCCATCCGACGCTGAAAGGTGAGGAGGGACCAATCCGCCTCAGGCTCCATTACCACGGCTTTGAATCGGGAAGCAGCCTGGCAATAAGGCCAAACTATATAGCATCAATATTGGATTCATGCAACACGCGGGATAACGACGTGAACTCACACGGTGCAAGTCCAGCACTCTGGAAGCGTGGTGTAACGGGTGTCCGTTCACCTGTATCCCCCGATAAATTAGCCTCATCGGTCCAATGCGCCTTCAAGAGTGCAGGTTGGCTGGTACCATGCCGGAATATAACATGGACAAGGTGTAATTGCAGGTTTGAGGGATACAGCGCAGCAAGTTCGTCCGGGGAGTAGGGAGGGCGAGGGTTCAGAGCTGCCATGGCTAGCGGTATGCTAGTATTAGATTTACTGCTGTGGGCGGTTGGGAAAGAGTTGGAAGTAGGAGTACAGTGGATGGAGATGGGAAAGGGCCTAGGTGATTCTTGCAAGAGGTGGAGGTGCCTGTAGCTTCACGGCGCGACAAAGCCACGCTGGCCCGGATCCACAGGGGCGTTGTGAGCCTCTCTACTGGGGCTTCGGTACCTGTGTGAACACGGTAATAGTAGATATGATACGTGGCCATTCTTGTCAGGCGACTGGAACCATCTCCTGGGCCGGCAGGGCATTGAAAATTTCGTGAGCCAGAGGGTTAATAAGCAACCTTTTCTCCAATGGCCAATATCAGCTAGGTACTTGTAATGTGCTCAGGTACGGATATCACCACACCTGTGCTGACAGTGTCCGAGGGATACCGAGCCGCCCCGGGGCAGACTCTCCTTAGTCATCCATGTCCTGGAAACCGATGGGGGGCAGCTGTGTCGGTCCTGGGGATAGTCGTTTATGATAATCTACTGTCCAGGCACGGATGATGAAACTGGCACCGGTATTATGATATGATATGTTTACGAGGTTATCACGGCCAAGTGCTTGAATATGCAGTCCCCGGCCCTGCTTTCAACACGTGCTCTAGCGGGGATCTAACTAGCCAGGAAGCCCAAACCCTCGATAAATCTACTCGGGTATGTTTCCCATCCACTCAACTTATGATAACCGAGACTTTGTTTTAACATCTCACTGGCGATCAGATTAGGGTGTCGGTTACCCTGTCTAATTTTTTCAACCCTCCCTCCATGTGCTCGAGTACGGTAAGCGAAGGAATATTAGAGCCTCCGAAAAGCAAAATTCTCACGAATGGCTTCTACATTACGGGTCTGGAATTCCCACCCCCAATAATGCCGGTCCGACGTGGGCTAACCGGGTTTGAAATAGGGAGCGACTTCTTCAGTATGTCGGTCATGCCTAAGGCTTCTCCGGACGCCGCCGCCGTCACGGTTGGTCTTGATCCCTGGCCGGCGATTGTTCCACACAAGTCCCGGTTGGCGGGCATTTGGAGAAGCATATCCCAACACGCCTTCGGCCCCTGATGTTGCGGCAACCCCTCCAGAGAGGCCTCCGCATATCCGACCTTTGTTCAACTTGCCTAGTGCTAGACGATCCTCTCTCAGATTATCTCGTCAGGACTTGGTGCGCGTTGAGGAACGTCTGGAAGACAGGGACCTGCCTGGGGGATACGCTGCATGGCTAGAGGTTTCTGACCCGAGGCATAGAGATGGTGAACCGATTTCAGAGCAGGTTACGGATGAGGTCATAAAACCGGTTGTTGAATTGCTCTTGGAAGGGTTGATTGAGGAGGGGCCTCAGCACAGCGAGTTACCGCCGGCTGCAGAATTTCTCGAGACATTGAGGTCTATGGCTCTGGCGAACGACAGTCAGTATCGGCTACTGCTTACCAGTATGCTTCGACAAGGCAAAGGTCCGGAGTTGGTTTCACCCGTGCTTGATAGCGCTATTCAGTACTACAAGGAAGACCACTTCAGAGCTGGTGCTCGTCGGCAAACAGTTGAGGGGGAGGAAGAAACGAGTGAGATAGACCGGGATATGCTGTGGTCCTCTCTCCGGTGGGGGTTTCGACTTGCCAGCAGCCCTTCCGCCATTGCTTCGACCATATATCTCGCCTTTCTTCATACGATGGAGGTTGCGACCCAGCATCACAAGGATTTGGAGAGAACCTTGTTCAGTTTTCCTCAGCTCCCCAACGCCCCGTTTCTTGGGAAATATATGGCACATCATTATTTTGAGGAGGAGATGCAAACGCGGCTTGTGAAGCTAGCGGATAAATTTGAGTTTAAAAAGTTGCTCACGGTACCCGCACTTCTCCAGAGGGCGACCGCTCAGTACACGGACGGAGGGCGGCTGAAGGACTATTACGATTCTCTCAGAACCCAAGCTGAAGATACCGGGATCCCGTTCTCGGAGGAGAACTTTATGGTTTTTGTCATGGCTTTTATGACCCTTACAGAAAGGGAAGTCGCAATCGAGATTTGGAACGACATGGCAAGAAGCGGGATTTTTCCTAAGCCACGTTCGTGGAACATGCTACTGACTGAAGCCGGGAGGCTCCAGGACAGAGACCGATCTTGCCTTCAGGCGGTTTGGAAAACCATCATTACGAGCGGAGTTATCCCCGACGTCATTTTGTGGACAACACGGATTCACGCGTTGCTCATGGCCGACCGTAAAGCAGAGGGAATGAAGGTTTTGAAGGACATGCAAAAATCTGGGCTCAAGCCAACCACCGCGACCATCAACGCTGTGCTCGACGGGTTGCTGAAAAATGGGTACATGAACGAGGCTAAGAAAACACTCCTGGTCGCGACTGGAATGGGGATAAAGTCGGATTTGACGACTTATAACACGATGTTAAGGGCACTGCTTCGATCGAGGAACTTTGATGAGGCAATTTCGTTGCTACGTGAAATGCAAGCTGCGGGCATTGACGCTGACATAGTCACCGCGACAACGGTGCTGGATGGGCTGTACAAAAACTCCCCCACCAAACCGGATTTGACGAAAGTCAGGAATCTCCTAGAGTACATGGAGGCCGCAGGAGTTCCGGCAAACGAAGTGACCTTTACGACTATCATTGAGGGGCTACTGGAAACTGGTAATGAGCAGGCGGCTCAAGACATTTGGATGATTATGGAATTTAAGGGATTGAAGCCTACACCTGCGACCTACACCACCGTCATCAGATACGCATTCTCGAAAGGCGATCTTCTGGGCGTCGAGAAGCTATGGCAGCAAGTCGAAGCCAACCGCGTTCCCAAGGATCAGAAACTTTGGACCCGGCTCGCTGTTGGATACGCTCAGATGGGAGAGGTGGAACGACTAAGGTCGGTGATGGCGGCCATGGGGGAAGAGGGCAGGATTTTGCCATTGTCAGCCTATACGCTGATTTTGAGGGCGCTGGAAAAGTGGGAGCTGTATAACGATGTTAAAGAGATTGTCAAGGATGCATTAGAGAAGGATATGATATCTAGTGATGGCAGTTCGAGGGGACCTGTCGAGAGGATGTTCTGGCAGACTCTGGAGAGGGTGGCTGAAGGCGCTGTTTTGATGGATCTGAAAGCCCAAGGGTTGGTCACTGTATAACTATTCTTCTTTCTCTTCGCAATTTCTAGGGGAGATAGTATAGATTGTAGATATTCTGTTGGTGTTCGTACTCTGGGATAATCCTACGGGTTGCTTGGTTGTCTTCGTATTCTCTTTCACAAAGCAAAGCATGCTATAGGGTTAGGGTTCCACTTCGACCTAAAAAGTCGTGCATCATATTGAGCAAACTTAAGTCACCTTGCCTAGGCAACAGCCGCCGCCTCCGATAAAAACCGTCGCGTCTTCCTCGTTCCCTAAACTCACACATCGACAACCATAATGACACCATTACCCCACAACCCCCAGGCCGAAGCGCCGGCCTCCGAGGAACCCATCCCAACAACCATCCTCCTAGCTACGGCCGCCGAAGAAGATTACAACTCAGCAGAAGACGAAGATTTCGACCCCACCGCCGTCCCGCAACGCACCGCGGAAGAGCTAGAATCATCAGACTCAGAGCCGGAACACTCGACAACAAAACCCAAACGGAAGCAAAAACGTCGTAGGGGATCATCTTCGTCCGAAGGCAGTTACGCAGATATATCCGGTGGTGAGGGTGGGTTGATTAAGACTCGGGCACAGCGATTAAAAGAGTCCACCGATGGGGGGAAGGTTGGGGGGGTTCTGGGTGGGGCTGTGGGAGCGACGACGACGGATGTGGATGAGTTATGGCGGCAGATGAATTCTAAACCGAACCTGAAACGGAGGAGCCCTCTTCCAGAGACAGTGAAGCGGGAGGTAGCAGATGAGGAAAGGAACATGGGAGACGAGGCGAGGGAAGGGTTGAACACATTTGGTGAAGAAACAATAACAATATCCCGAACATACACCTTCGCTGGCACCGTTGTCTCGGAAGCGAAAACGGTTCCCAAGTCCTCCCACGAGGCGCAGACGTATTTATCTACGCTGCCTTCCGCATCTTCGATCCCTACCCCTTCTGCCCCCTCCGCCCCAGCCAACGGTCTCCCGCCTCGCCGTCCACCGCCCAAAAAGCGCGCCTCGGCATTCGATTCCGCCGCGGCGGCACGAAAGCCCGCTACGTCGACCGCCACACAGAAACTAAATACTTTGGAAAAGAGTCGTCTGGATTGGGCTGGGTTTGTGGATAAAGAGGGCATTGGGGATGAGTTGAAGAAGCACACTTCTGGCGATAAGTCCTACTTGGACCGCCAGGCGTTCTTAGGAAGGGTGGATGAGAAGAGGGAAAGGACCTGGAAGGAGGGGAAAGGGAAGTGAGGTTGGAAGAAGGAAAAAAGGGGGTTTAATGAAAATGGTCGGATATGTAAGATGGGGAGGGATTTTCTCCCTGCGTTCCCGCATTTTGCTTTGCATCTCGGGGCTTGATCGGATTCCGAGCCTTTTTTATGCATATTTTAAGGGGGTAAAACCGAATAAAGCGAGCTGTTCTTTCTCTTTGAACAGAGATATAGATACCGGGAAAGCGCCTTTACTGCAGAGTTCGGCGTATATATATATACAAAGATAGAGATACACCGTGATATCACACAAGCTAGGGTTTCTTCCTACACTGCTCTCGAGCGCCGGTAACTCGGAATACCAAACGCCTGAGGTTCGGAATGACGTCCCGAGCCGTAGCGTCCCGTAGCGAGAATAGAACCAGGCCTAAAATTCGTTCGCTGGTAACCAACTTCTCTACACCGCTCCCGACGAAATTGCTCTCCGCCCAGCTATCTACCAGCGCTAATAGTGTATTTGCAAAGCACTAAAGTACTACCATTGTGGCATCATCCTACGAACCCCCATACTCACGCCCACCCGCCCGAAAACTCGCCAATACATGGTGACTTCCGAAAACTGGTGGGAATCGCTTCGATGGGGCGCACATAGAAACCTACGTTATCTTTCAGGTTTATTGTATGATAGCTGAAATTGAAGAGCAGCGCTGGGTGATCTTATCCAACGGGCAACGAGAGGTGAATGGTCGATAAGGTGGTACTGGCGCTTCACTGCTCGTAAGTAAGTACTGTACTTGTGCCGAACGGTGGATACTTTGGTTTCCCTGAAGAAAAAAAAAGAAACCCGGGTTGACACTTTCCGATTTACGGTATTATTACTTCACTGTTCTCTGCTGTTCTGGTATCATACTTGTAGGTAAATAGAATATAATATGTTCATCGCTGGATATAACTATCTCAAGGTTCTTCCATGGTGAACATCAGATTTGTTTCAAGAGCTATGCCCGGTCTGTGTGCGGGTGCAGGGGGGCTGAGGAAGAGAATGTAGCGGGGAAGGGTCGGGCCGAGGAGAGCAGGAGGAGGAGGTTGGGGGGACCGGACAACCTCAAGACGGAGGTATTGACGATGATACTGTTTTCGTGTGATTGTGATTATATTGCTGGTGGGGACGGCCCCACACCATCTTGCCCGGAGGGTGAATAGGCGGAATCTATGGAGGAGGAAGGGCGACACAGTCCCAGAGTCATGATTCGCCAAAAGTAGATCGGGACGGGAACCGTGATATAGGGAATTTGGAATAAGGTAATACTAAATCCGGAGAATACTGTATGTCTGGATTGAAGGCACAGTACAGAAATTCATCAAAAGTCTTACGTGAAGCGGAATTTCCTACCTACCCATAGAAATATGGTAGGTCCCGCCCTCATACATACAGCGCAAATCCTACAATAGCCTTCCCATTGGTGGCCACCGCAGAGGATAAGCTCAGTTACGCAAGGGGTCTTTTACATAGTGTCTATGGGCGACGTAAACCTCTACCGTCAACTGCTCCACAAAACCGGCGGAATCTAGGATTTCGAATCTTAAGCATGTCCACCGCGCGGATCACGAAATACTAATGGCCAACAATAGAAAGTCTTTAAGGAACTATTCAGGAATACGGTCCTGTCAGGGAATTGGGGAAACAGAGCTTCAGAATCTGGCTAAAGGGAATGGCGGGAGGGGGAACGCCCTGGTGACGAGGTAGGGAGGAGGGTGGTTGCACGGTGGTGGTTTGGAGAGAGTGCATCTCTTGATATCAGCTCCTTGCGAGCCCTTGTTGAGACTGGGTCAATCTGGCATGTCTTGCTTCCTCAGATGCTCTCCAGGGATTGATAGTGATCGACACTGATGGTGCTAGTTGTTGTCTTTTCAAGCCCTCTTAGTGGGGTGCGTTGGCTTGGGGCTGTTTATCGACTATCTTCACTTGTCTCGCCAGCGGTTTCTACGGGCTGCTGCCGGGCTCTATTCGGTGGAATATCTGCCGGCAAAGGCTAGGGACGGGTATTGTGTACAACCTGCGGCCAGTATATATACAGTATATGAACCCGGTCTCTCCTAAAATGGCCGGGCGTTAATAGGGAGTTACCGTGTATATACTGTGCGGCACGATAAGAATCGATTCGATTTGTGGGCGCTAGTTAAATCAAATCGGACTTTGCAAATCGAAATTGAAATTGGCGATTTTAAGTCAGGAATAATTGATTGAAATCGATTAATATCACCAACAAGGTTTACTTGTTTAAACCTTGTTTTACTGGGATATTAGGAGTGTGAGTAGCAAGTCAGGCACAGGATATTTATAAGGACAAATAAATACAACTTAATTCCCAATCTGGATTTCCATATCAGAATCTTGATCAATATCTCCTGGGTCCTCCTTCTCCACAATAACTCCATGGTTCTTGAAATACATAATAATGCCAATACTATTGTGGGCTAGTTGGTTTAGCTTTTTTTTTTCAAATCAAGTCAGATCCTCCAGAAAATACCTGTTCAGCAGGTACACTGGTTGCTGGAATTGCCACATAATACTGATATATTATATGAAGAACTGGAAGCTGATAACTATTTGCTTCCCAAAAGGCAGCCGGATTAGTATCTTTAGAAAGTTGTAAGACCTTAAGGTATATATATATCCAATTCATTTAAGGAAACATCTGGAGTATAAAATAGGAACTCATTCTTATTATTCAATTCATCATCAAACTTTCTCTACTTCTTACTTGAACCTGTATTCAGGTCTAGGGTACCAGAACTATTACTAATAGTCTGGTCTGCTTGTTTTTTCTATGCTTGATTATAGCTATTATTAAATATAGATTTAAACTGATGCTTCAATACCAGAATTTCTCTACTGATTAATGAGAGTTACTGAAAAATATATAATTAGTAGAGTAGATTCAGAATTGTAGCTATTATATATGAAGTATGCTTTGGTGTCAGTATAATATTTGTTCAATTTTTTCCATCCTTGATTGCATACCCCACCAAGGTTTCTTATTATTCTACTATGACCTTAAATAAGTATAATTGTCACTCTTCCTGTATTGTATTTTCTTGACAGGGAACAAACAATCTTCAAGTTCTTATATCTTTATAGTTCTTAACTATTACACATAGAAGTGTAATTGGTGTGGCATGTAACTAAATGCATAAGGTCAGGTGTTTGAATCTGGGCCCTATTGTAATTATTGTGACGATATCATATTATCACACGGAATAATACTAAAGGCTTCTATGCAGCCTACTTCGTAGAGATACAAGGGTTGCGACCTAGGGGTTTTTACCATATAACACAGAAGGAACTCCGCTCTATAAGATAAGACTTAGTTGGTTTAGATTGGTTGGTTAGTTATAAAGCTACGATCTCTGCAAGTCTATACGCTATTACAAGAAGTAATATGCATGCCCCCTTCAGCTTACATGAACTAGAGTTATCTGGAAAACTAGTTCACAATTGGTTAATCACAACTCACTGGTTGAGTTAGTTATCTTCATCATGTACTCTAAGATATCCACATAGAAGAGTTATTAATAAATCCTTTCATGGAGCTGATTACTCCACTCAGGAAGAGAGCGGGAAAGTTAGTTTTCAGGATCAAACAGAGTTCACACTCCAAGGGCACTGAATCATTAGTATGGCAAGTACTTAGTCAGTAAGGGATTGGATGTAGCCTGCGACTACCCAGACGTAGGATATAAATATTGAGGTGCCTCCCTAGCTTTAAGTCCATCCTCCGTCTCCGCTACACCTCCGGTCATTGAAAAATATTTCCTAATCGGGAACGACTCAACACCAAGGAACTATCACCACTTTTCTTTAGCCTTGCACCCCCCCGCCGGGGGGTGCAGGCTGATGCCTTCCATTCTTTCGCCCAACGGGGCCTCCCTTCTACTCTCTCCCCCACCTGGCATCTTGCCTCTGCTGGATGGGGGTCCACTCCTCACCCTGGGGGTCTCATCGTGAGGCCTCTCTCCTCCCTACCCCGCTTTTGCTACACTTCACTTAGCATCTGCACGGTCGGCTTTGGCGGCTGGGCTGATAGTTGAACGGTCAGTTGGGCTGGTGGTCCTCTGGGCTATCGGGAGTGGCAGATGGTGGGATCCCTTCCACTATAGTGACGCTATCTCTCCCAGAACAAGGGACTACATGAGAGACGCGGTAAAACATCTGCTACTCCTGTGACCCCAGTTGCAGCCTCCTACCGTATCGTTTGACCGGATCCTTTGTTTGCCTTGCCCTCTTCCTCTCCTCTCTTCTGGGATCGGCTGGCACCCTACTGCCTGGGCCCTCGGGCCCTACCACCACCAAGGGGCAGTGCTTCGGCCACCCTTCCTCCCCTCTGTACTATTTCAGCTGGTACTTCTCCCTCTTCTGCCAGCGTCGCGGCAGCACTACAACCCTTCCTGGCTCTGATGTCGTGCATCATCCAGCCTCTCCACCTTGAGGCTCCTGACGCCTGGGGTCTACCCTCCCCCCTCCTCGGCAGTGCTGGCTGCCC